TCTGAACTGATCTTGTCCCTCACACTAAAGGTATTGTCTGAACTGATCTTATTCCTCACACTAAAGGTATTGTGTGAACTGATCTTATCCCTCACACTAAAGATATTGTCTGAGCTGATCTTATTCCTCACACTAAAGGTATTGTCTGAACTGATCTTATCCCTCACACTAAAGGTATTGTCTGAACTGATCTTGTTCCTCACACTAAAGGTATTGTGTGAACTGATCTTATTCCTCACACTAAAGGTATTGTGTGAACTGATCTTATTCCTCACACTAAAGGTATTGTCTGAACTGATCTTGTCCCTCACACTAAAGGTATTGTGTGAACTGAACTTGTTCCTCACACTTAAGGTATTGTGTGAACTGATCTTGTTCCTCACACTAAAGATATTGTGTGAACTGATCTTATCCCTCACACTAAAGGTATTGTGTGAACTGATCTTATCCCTCACACTAAAGGTATTGTGTGAACTGATCTTATTCCTCACACTAAAGGTATTGTGTGAACTGATCTTATTCCTCACACTAAAGGTATTGTCTGAACTGATCTTGTTCCTCACACTTAAGGTATTGTGTGAACTGATCTTGTTCCTCACACTAAAGGTATTGTGTGAACTGATCTTATCCCTCACACTAAAGGTATTGTGTGAACTGATCTTGTTCCTCACACTTAAGGTATTGTGTGAACTGATCTTGTTCCTCACACTAAAGGTATTGTGTGAACTGATCTTGTTCCTCACACTTAAGGTATTGAATGAGCTTATATTTACATAGAAGACCTGATCCCTAATCAATATCAGCTGACGTTTTGATAAATAAATAAGGTTATTGTTCCTGTAACTGGATTACAAAGAAAGACAAACAAATCCAGATATATTGACCTGAAGCATTATACATCTACAGCATGAAGATTGCTGGTCAATACATGTATTATTCTTTGGTTCAGCAATAAACTCATTCATAGACAAAAATCTATCTACTGTAATATATGTAGACAAGAGTAAGTCATAAGTGTATCTATATTTCTGTTTGAGGAAGTGGACCAGGAAACTACAACTTTTTTTTTGTTTTTCTTTGCACACAGGAAGAAAGAGATTAGAAATTCTATGGTTTTACCAACGGAAAATTAGACATTTATGTGCATAGAAAAACGAACAAAAAACAATAAAAACTTCAGTTACTTTGAACAGTTCATGTCTACCTGTATCTATCACAGTATGAGGAAAAATACTGCAGATACATTAAGTATATATATATGAGGCAATGCATCATTATAAAGCTGCAGTGATATTGATTCTAGAGTTTCTAGTGATGTACCTGAAAACCTTATAATATTGACCAATTAACAGCCACAGGATCTTTGATGGTTCCAATATGGAGCTCAAGACCAATGTATGACTGCTAGCTGACCACAGGATCTTAGATTGTCCTAGAGCTAATGACTTTACAGTGACAGAGCAAACTTCATAATCATTGATGGTCCTTATGTCATATAACTGACCCTATAGCGACTGACCAAATGATCTTGGATTGTCCTAATAAAGAACTTAAGACTAACAATGACTGACACCAGGATCTTCCCTACAGTAAATGTCTACAGGATCTTTGATTGTCCCAATGTGTGGCTAATGTCCCTACAGTAACTGTCTACAGGATCTTGGATTGTCCCAATGCGTAGCTAATGTCCCTACAGTAACTGTCTACAGGATCTTGGATTGTCCCAATGTGTGGCTAATGACCCTACAGTAACTGTCTACAGGATCTTGGATTGTATCAACATAAAGCTAGATTTTTGTTTTTATTTCTATAACAATGAACTACAAAGACGGATAGTAAAAATTCTTCAACAAAGTAAAGACACTTTTAATACTTGTAAAAATTTGAAAGTACATACTTGTATACCTCAATAAATTTTATAGTTTAAATAACATATCATAATACAAGCATTTCATCCTGTCATATTTAATTTTCCTTGAACAACATCTCATAAAAATCTTACATATCAGTTAAATTCAAATGAAATCCTTTATGATGAAGACTGAAATTTCCTCAATACACATGAATGATTCACTGGTAGATCTTCCTTTTAATGTGGACTAACAATCAATTAAGACTTAAGCTTGAAATATAGAATTCATAAAAAAGTTTGTAAAATAATTGTAAGATAAAGCCTAAAACAAATTTTTTCTCTGCAGTTTAATTTTTAGATTGTCATCTTCTCTTTCTGTTGTTAAATTATATCTATGTGTGTAAACAGTAGTGTCGTTATCTTTTGTTGTTGTCTGATCTTGTTAGAGTTGAAGTTATTTCCCTTGTAATTTTCCAGATTTGGGAACATGCTGTCCTCTTTATTGCATTACATAAGTGTTTGTCAGGCACCTGAAACGGATGTGTCGTTCCTAATACTTTACCACATGATGTATCTTATACATAAGTTAATATAATATTATTATATACATCAGTTCTACCGACAACTCCAGTCCCAATACACTGTAACCCTAGTCACTTCTATGCAACAATAATACTTCTAAGTTAGCTGAGAACTTCTCTCGAGTCTAATCCTAGAGTATTAGACAACAACGACAGATAAAGAGGTCTAAGGTCAAATCCCTATAACAAATAACGAACTCTGTTACAATGAATGGAACCTATATAAAGAGATTCGGGAATCATACTTGGCATTGCCGCACATCCATTGCTGTAACCCTTGGAGGCTCAAAGATAAAAGTTCTTTCCTGGAGGCGGATTATGTAACCCTCTAAATTACATACAGCTTAGATGCATGTACAATATACAGTATTTACATCAAGTGTGATGACAACAACATATGTGATCATAGGTATCTGCGTTTTCACAATATTAGTACATTTCTGAACTTTTTCTTTCTGTGATCTTAAAATCCTTTTGACAGAATGATTTTGTTCTCTTTCAAGGGTTATTTAGTGCTCATAATGAGCCTTATACTCAATGAAAATTATTCCATATTTAAGATAAATTCCTCAATTTACACCTTATTCCTGAAAATTGTATTCTTCATTCACCAATTTTCCTAATTAACCAAAAATGAGAGCAAAAAATCCCAAATGAGTGAAAAAATTCTAACTTCATCATCAACGAAAATGTCAAAATGTGAAAATTAAGCAACTTTCATTGCCCAGCTGTTGCCATCCACAAATGGATTTAACTGTTTAATGATTGAGTCCCCCATGTGTTGATTATATCCATGACACCACTTTTAACAAATATGTTGTCATGGATATCGGAGACTTTCAGAGATTATCAAAGGTACTGATCAAGAATCAATATCCAATCATTCAGGCAATTGGCACGAAAATAATATACTGGACTGTACATATATGTAGATCTGGAAATCAATGATCTGTTAATTCATTGCACAGTTGTGTAATCAGATTTAAAACCATCTTATTCCGAAGTCTCACACAAACTTTAGCATCAGTGGCAAGTGCATTATAAATGATAAAGAAAATGAGTAGCCCTTGAAACCAGACCTCCAATCACTTTTCTATCTCATTTGTCAATTATGCATTCACCTCCCACCTAGATGTTCAGGTTCAATTCCTAGAACTGTTGTGAAAAGGTATGAGGTCACCTGCCCAACTACAGGCCAACAAGAGTGATTAATATAAGTTAAAAAGCTTGTTTTGCAATTGTTATAAAAATAAATCAGTTTGATTTTTGTTATTATTTTAAGAGAACTCTTTGTATACCATTATAGACACTGAGTATCTGCCTAAAACCTAACAAATGATATGAAATGCATGTTTTGTATGAATTTACATTCATGTTTTATATTTGTTTTTATCAAATTACTGCAGCATTCTTTTAAGTATATAAATTACAAGTGAGGAGACACTAAAAAACATCCTCTAAAATTAAGTTTATTGTTTCTGAAGAAGAGATATAGGATGAATGGCTGACAGATCAGACATCTTCGATCACATATTAATACATATTACTATAGACTCAAAATGATTTTGACATTATTGACAAATCCTAGGCCCATAACTACAGAATGATAGTTGGTTACTACAGGAAAAACCCCAGATCCAGGTATTGTACAGTCCATGTAGCTATTTACTTTGGTAACAATCACAAATGTCACTAAGTGTCAATTCAAATATTAATGTATTCATTATATATAGTTCACAATGTATAAAGTGAGCCTTCGCAGGACGCATAGTTTTAACATAGTATTCCATTCTTACTAACTGACTGCACTTTTGGTATTGCAGATATAGATTAGTTCATAAATCATGTATTATAAAGCTATAAGTCAACCTTCATCAAAAGTATATTGTCTATGAATTTAGATTAGCCATCACATTTCCATACAATACACTTGATATTGTATGAATGCCCCTACACTGTACATACCATAATTTTTAACCTGAGCCCTACAATATGTCTCACAATGTCTCAGATATAAAGTTTCCCTTTTGTAACTGAAACTGTTTTGGAACTTGAAAATGACAAAAACTACAGCTGCTAATTTAAAGAAAAAAAAAACCAAGTGAATTGTTAAGTGGCTCAGTGGTTAGTGTAGGATCTCAGTGTACCTTTTATTGTTTGATCATCTGCGTGGTTGCTGCACTCAACATCATCTGGTCAGGGTCTGGTATTGGACAACTTATATGACCATGTGTGTTTTGTCCATTCCCCCTCCCCCACAAAATTCAGACCTGTTTGTTAGGCAATTGCTTGTATGCCAAATGCCAAACTTATATAATGATTGAAGAAAAATAACATTGATCAATGGAATTTGCAGGTATGTGGGTGCTGTGTTCCCAGCTATGACGAATGAGGCATATATCTGCATCATATGAATACTCTTATCTAAAAATTCTTCATAAAGTGTTATGAAGACAAAAAAATATTGTAGAAAATTATTATTGAAAATTTATTATTCATACAAAGTAAATTCATTTCCTGGAAAATTTAAAATTAAACAATAAAAACAATAAAAAAAAAAAACTTACCTGAATGATTGTCACAATATGACATGGGTTCAGAGTATATATCATTTGTCCTGTAGCTAATTTGAATCCAAGTTCAATTCCAAAAGTCAAACACATAACGACTAATAAAACACGCTTCCCACACCTGTCCGTTTTGTCGATGGGTGTCACCTTTTTTGGAAGTGTAAGACGTAATAATGATGGATAAATCATGAATCCTGCTACAACACATGCAAATATACTCTCCAATATTCTCTGGAATAACACAATAAAGTTCCGACATTCCTCGCCTCCATTTCCAGCCAGGTCAAAGTCCACTCCATTATATGCCCAGTCAAACATCCCCTTCTGGGCCACAGGGGTCATGGTTGGCTCAGTTGTCAACATGGTTATATCAAAGGGTCAAAAGACAAAGTTCACAAGTTCATGATGATTTTTCCTGAATTATTTACCTGAAAAATATGAAGGAAAATTTAAATACATTGTGCAATGTGCTCTTAAATTAATCATTTTTTCAATGGATTTGTGTATTACTGAAAAACAACCTGAAATCAGCCTAAAAAAATATTAGTCATCACATATAGATCCACTTACCTTTTGTTTTCTCTCTAGTTCCTAACAAATGCTCAGCTCATATAATAACTAAAAAAGGGGTATTATTCTTTTTTAACTGGGGCAGAATGTCCAATTTCCTTTCAAAACACTCTACATGAATCAAAGTTATGTAAAAGAATAAACACATGTCACAGAGCAAGAGATAAATAGAATTATAAATGTCTAATGAAAAAACAGCTATAACTCAAAGCTAGTCAAGCATCAGACCTATTTTCTGTTCTGACTGACAACAAGTTTCATGTAAGAATTCACATGAAATTCTGAATATACAACAGAAACTTGAAAGACATTAATCTAAGGTGTAGTTACAAAGATGATAAATTGAAGACTTAAGGGTTGCGGGTAAGTGTTTTAAATTGGTAATTTCAAAATTCAAAACTTCAAGGCTACACATGTAAAGTCTGTCGATAGTGGTTCGTTGTTTCACTGTGTATTGCTTTAAATGAAGATTAATTAGGGTGTAAGTATTCTACCTGTCTTCCTCATTGTATGATTCATATGACTCCCATAAGTGACACTGCCTTCCTGTTGGCTTTTAGTTGAGCAGTTATCACTGTGAAGAAGGCCATAACACTGGAAATTATGATCGAATCAATTCCAATGTTAGACTCATCTAAGATCTTATTGATGCAGTTTATATCTACATACCAAGTTTAATCAAAATCTGTTCATAATTACTAATGAAGTTATTGTATTCACATTGTCTACGGTACTTAAACTGCAAAGGGCTCATATTTATATTTGGTTTAAAGTTTTTTCATTAAAATTGATTCATATTAACTCAAGTTATCGTGTTCACAATGTCCATGGTATGAAAACTGCAAAGGGCCATAACTCAGTAAATTACCATTTAAGCAATCCCATTTTTAAACTCATCTGAGTTCTTATTGATATAAAGCTGCATCTGAATTGGTTCATATTTATTCAAGTTATCATGTCCACTAGATAAGTTAAGATGGTGGACGATCAACGATCGCTATGGGTCAACATGACCTATGGTCAGCTGAACTAATAAAATGTGATATTGTATCACTCTTTTGTTACTGTTTAAAATCACCTGATTATTTTTATATTAAGACACCTGTCTAATAAGGTTCCTTGGAATTTCCTTTTTAGACAGGTTTGGCAATAAATATATTATTCATGAACCACTATTGAACTTGAACCCTATTTGAAACAACTTTGGCAAGGTACTGTCAAAGTATAACTTCTATCAATTGATTTATCACAAGTTACAACCCAATGTGAAAGCCAGAATGGCAGTTAGAAAAATATACATGTACCTTCAGGTAATGTGCCAGTCACCATATATATTTACATAAAAAACTTGTAAATTATCCAGCAATGTCATTTTTTGTTGACATATTCTTTCCAACACCTCATTACCAGTTTGTTAATTTTGTGACAATTAATTCTTAACACAAACCAAAGGTATAAACAATTTCAAAATGGCTCCACATGTACAAAATACGTGAAAGTTTTGTATTCCTTAAATAATGTTATAAATGAAGGAATTTTTTTAACTTTCTTTCAGCCAAGTCAGTTTGCATCTATTGAATAACAGCTTTTTTAAAAAGATAAAGGATTGATTTGGTTTCAGCTCAAGTAAATATAAAACCTAAATCAATGATGTCAGACTAAGGTATGTGGTATTGGCACTACACACTCATCAGATTAAGGCAGTCTTTCCTCTTCAAATGGCAACTTAGCCCGAAATTGGTCTAAAAGTGGATAACCATGCTATGACATTTACACCAGTATAGAAAAGATACAGGTTCAATATACATTGGACCATACTCTTTGAAATACCAGTGCAAAGGTAACTTTTAAATGAGAATGTGTCTGGATAGTACCTAACAAGAGCACTACAGAAATAATTGAAATACAACTGAATAAACACAAACTATATATAATGAACCTACAATTGTCTACAAAAGAACAACTACCAAGATTACAATAGGTTGGTTAAAATCTGAGGGACAGGACAAAACTAAACTGTTGAAAAGAACAAGGGCAATAACTCTCTAAAAATATGATGAATTAAAATTCTTGATGAGGTAAGTAGTGTTCCAAATTTAATGACAAGTTTAAAAGAGAAAGATACAAAAACTTACAGAAAAAATCTCCAGAAATGAAAATGAGAATTGAAATTTAGTTATCGCTAATTCATAAACAATATATGCCTGTTTAGCTGTTATGATGAATACATTAGTTTAAGTCTGATTATATGCTTCAGGCCACTTTTCTCTAAAGCATTGATTCAAGATGTACAATGCGACAGAGGAGGATGTCTCTTGTATCATAATTAGCAGTTTCCTCACTGATGGGATGTTTATTTCCTCATCCGCTGCAAGCTTCCTCCAACATCTAAAACAATATTTAACCCCTTCACAGCACCAATTTATATAGCACAGTTTCATTTTCAATTTTACCATTATACGTAATTGTTCAGTTCCCTTGACAGAACTTGATGCGTAAACAGTTCCACTGGGATACAATTTATTACCTTTTACATTTAATAATTCAAATAAACGATAACAGACTCACTCAGGGGTGGTGTTGATGGGCCTACAGAGCTACACTGTAAAGTATTTATATTTTATTTATAATATTGAACCCGTAAATGAATTTACAATATGTTTATCCTATAACAGCCATTGTAGGGAGCCAATGCAACATATTTTGGTAATTCTACTGGAAATGATATGGCAAGGCATTAAGTTGATCCTTGACATCTGACAATCAGAAGTCGAATCACAAATATCTGATAGGTCAAAATATCTGTGAAATATATTAATGAATTCCTCCAAACTCAAGTCAAAACACATTTTTGGGAGTCATAAACATATTCTGACAGGTCTGAATGACCTGTATGGTTAGATCAGTTCCCAATCGCAGACGCAGCACTATTATGGAGAGTTTAACAGATATGGTACTGGGACAGAAGTGCTATTGTGTGTCTTGTGTTTCCTATACAATAACTATGATACCACATGGTCAACTTTTTATGCAAGTGACAGCAGTCCAAACAGTACAAGCTGACCTACCTGTTTTTTCAGTCATATAAGGATCGATTTAAATATCCTACATGGATTATAACACATAAAAGATAACATTATACAAAAAGATAATTTCAGTGTCTTGGTGCGGTTCTGCAATTCAATGAAAAATTGGAGACAAGGTCCATCAATCTTATATGACAAGAAAACAAATGATTACAAATCCTTCATGTTGAAACTTTTCTGAATGTTTATAAAAACAATATTACCATTACCACAAGTTAAACATATAATCAACATGAAATTAACCAGAATGGTTGCTGTTGTCATTGTGATTAATGTCCGAGGCCTAATTTCACAATGCACATTACTAATGGACAGGTAATACACTAAAAACATGTAGTCTTATAATAAGGCCGACAAAAACTGCTTAATGACTTCCTGCCTTTATAATTCTAATCTGTGTCAAAGTGGGTTGCTAAAACGAAGTTGTCAGATATCATAGTAATCCACATATTTATCACATAATCTACCAATTTTATGGTAAATTCATTGGAGACCTTTTCATTGATTATTCCATTTAGAAATTGATCGTACGTGTAATTTGTCATAATGATGTTATGTAATAAATTAAAAATGGAGCAAGAAAGTGGCTGCTTCTGTTGAATTTTGTCTTCCAAATTTTTGCTCTAAAACCTGTCAAAGTATAACTTAAATGAGTTATGTGAAAAAAGGTAACTTAATTGAGTTTTAATTTTATATGTGATTTTATAAAACTTGTCTCCCAAGTTTTAACTTTCGCTTGCCAAGCAGTAATATTTTTGAGTGGCATATTCGAGTTCTGGGCTACCACTTTTCCTATATTACATATCCTTACTCATATTTTAAGAACTCATAAAAAGTTACAATGTCTAAAAATAAAAGTCACAATAACCTGCTAATTATTCAACAGGTTGACAGTACGAAACAAAACTGATCCAGAGAGCAAGTCGAAAGTTGAATGGAAAATAGGGATCTAAACATGGAATATTATTTATTGGACAGGTTTTTTTTCAAAAGATAAAATAAACAATTCAACATAAAAATCCAATTGTGAATCCATCTCAATAATTCCAAACTGGACCTATGGACTTAAAAATAATTATTTTTATATTGCCTAACCTATTGCTGCTGCTGATGATAATGATGATGATGATGATGATGATGATGATGATGATGATGATGATGATGATGATGATGATGATGATGATGGAGATGTGTTAGATCATTACATTTAGTTAATACCATGTGTACGAGAGTGGTATTGTTCTGTTAATCAGAATGCTAGAAAGTGTACAGATCAGTGAATTCTGACTGATGCTGCAGGATGTAACATTATAAAATATCTATCTGAATGACACAATTACTACCATAATAACAGCTAGTTTAGTTAGGAAAGAGTAATTAATGAAAAATACACTTTGACCAACCTAATGTCCCTTATAATGACCTTTTCTCTAGATGAATAGCCTCATCAACATACAGTTCATGTAGCTATAATGTCAGGGAATGTAAAACCAGCTGAAGCCAGTAATTATCAGGTATTCTGACTTCTACATTATCCCCTTTTTCACATGTCTCAGAACCCAGGTTCATTTAGCTTCAGACGCTTACATCTCATACTTAGAGTGGTTAGCAGCTGGGGAAGTCAGTGATGAAAATGCTTGCTTTGGCTGAAGCTCAAGCCACTGACCTCTCCCAGAGAGTCTAGGTGACTATCCCAACACCAAGATAAATGGAAATGTATGTACAACAGTGTCATATATACAAATCCCATTAATTTATGAAATAACAACAATTAGCAGTTTTAAGTAATTCCAATTTTCTTAAAGCAATAATGACAAATAGTTGATCAATAAGACTAAAATTAAAAAAAGAAGAAATTATATTATATCAAAAAGAATTGTGTAATGTATATGTATATTTGTCATAGGATTGAATAAAAATAACATTTTTTGTTTTAAACTCGAACTGTTTAACACTAAATTTCTGTACATCACATCGATGTTTATTCAACAATGACCACGATCGAGTATATGAACATGTCTGGTAAAGAGATATGATCTAAATTATCTGCTCGTATTATATCGATAAACTGGACGGGTTCGTTGCGATCGTTTGAACTTGAAGAACAAAGACGTTATCTCATTATAACAATAGCAACATCTTATGATCTTTTAGGCTTCTTGCCAATATATTTGTCAATTTGCAATTCGCTTGACAAAAATATCAAGAAAGAAATACATTTCAGAGTATTCCGGCAAAATGCAAACGCGGCATCACTTACCATACGTGTCGTAAGCAGTCGTCAAGATTTGACCTCAGTCGCCGGTGTATACCGAGAAATCTAAATTTTCCCTAAATATAGCACTGCTAGGACTCCTGTCATTTTGACAGTGCCCGACTGTTTACTTAAAACCGGAAGTAAAACCGAGGTCAATTAATATAGATTACCTGATTATCATCAATCACATTCATATAAAAGTATTTAAGTAATTTGCCGTCACAGAAATAGCAGCTGTAGTTTGGTAACCAAATATGTGCTATCTTATGCATAAATACGAATTTAAACAAATGCTAAATATAGCACAATATTAATCCGCTTTATCCTGTTTCAAGGGCAAAAATATTTCTAACCATTTGATTGGTTGTTATCGATAGAAGGGGTTTCCCCAAACGCATGGTGTACGATTAGAGCACGTTTTACAAAGTTTGACCAGGTAAATAAACTGACATGGTTGCTTTGACATCTTTTCCAGCTCCTTCCGAGTTAATCCGGCACAAGGAAGGAGACACCGTCGTCAACATTGATGGAACTGGATATGGAAATGGCACTCTCTACATCACTGAAACGTGAGTATTGTTACTGTATTATTGATGCAACAGGGACTGTTTAATAAGAATGTTAAAGCGTTAAATGGACAAGCGCTCACACATTTGCTGTTAACATGGTTGATAGGAAATAGGCCACACATGAAAAGAGCACATTGGTAAAACAATGCTGGTAATTCTATCAACACATGTCTGTTATGTAGCAGTATTCATAAAATTCATTTTCACTTTATAACAGGTCATTTTCACGAGTAAATAATGCTGGGTTTAAATGAAAAAATTAAAGACTTATGTAGAAGTTGAGAGTACATGTTGCCTTATAAGTTTCGTCTAGTGGGAATATCCCTTAAGTCCAGTGGTAGAGTTCCTGGCTAATGACCAAAGTGTCCCTTATTCAAACCCCAGTGGTGCTAGGCTATTTTTTTACTACTGCTTGTTACTGGTAGTGCCATTGACAACACAAAGGGTAGAAGCTTTATGAGATTGAGATGCTTCCATGGAGATGTGAAACTTATGTTGTTGTCATTGAGGTCATTAGAGCTTCAAAGGGGACAATTATGTAGTTATCATTCATTACATTTACACAACGATCATACTCAAACTGCTTGATTTGATATGGGGATTTTGTCACACATTGAACAAAAAGGTGGTAGTGTTGGAATGCACATGACGGGAAACAGCATTACAACGTATCTTAATCTACCCTCAAGCTTATTAAGATTTATCCAAATATGATTCATAATGCTGAAGTTTGCAACATTTGTGCTGCGTTTAAGTCATTCTGATATTGGATTTGGCTGTATAGCACATAAAGGTGATCACATACGGTAACATGTATATTATGTGGCTGTGGGTAATGTCTGAATGGAAATGTGTGCTTTATGTGTAAATCTTGCAAAAATAAATGTGAAATATATATACTGGTACATGTATATTTATAAATTAATCAATATATTACACTTTTATATATATTTCAATGATATATGTATTGAAACTTCAATCAGCTTTTGAAATCAAAGTCATTTGATTGATTAAAATATTTCGAAAAAAAAAAAATGAAAATGAAAATAAAAAAAGATATTTATAGTTACCAAAAGAGGTCATTTGTAAAGTGTATGTAAGTGACCTAAATGCATTTCCCTTTTGTTCAAGGGTATTCTGTCCATAGGAAGACTGCTTTTCGTTCAAGGCCATAAAATTGGATAACACATTTTGGAAGGGAGGCAACTCTGTTTTTCTGTGGGAGTGCTTCTCACTTTTAAAAAAAGAGTATTCATGTGTCTTAGAATCTCATTACTCCTATATTTTTCAAGTGATTATTAGGGCAATATCATTGTATTACTATATATGAAGTTGTAAGAGTTGTATTGAATCACATTTTGATTATACTCCCTCCCTCTCCTTGTGACATTAGCATTAAGTAGGGGATGGGAAGTGGGGGTTAACAGACTGGAATCGGCTCATTCATCTGTCTTAAGACAGAATTTTATTAGGTACAGGGCATATAAATGTATACATTTATCTCACTAATGTTAAACTGTCTATATGTTTTGCCCCAATGTAATTATGCCATCTTACTTACTTTTTTTAGTTTGACTCTTTTTTGACATCAGGACACAAGTCTCACAGTTGGGGATATTTTATTTCTCTTTCACTCATTTAATCTTTTTATCAATGACAGAATCTCACTTTATTTTTTGTCTGATTTCAGTGTTGTAGCTTGGCAAAACGTTGAGGGAAAAGGTTTCTCCTTGAATTACCCAAAGATCAGCCTGCATGCTTTGTCCAGAGATACTTCAGCCTTTCCTCAGGAGTGTTTGTACTTGATGGTAGAAGGTAAACTACCAGGTAGGTCCAGAGAAAAACCAGTAATGCTACTTAATGGCTTATATTGCATTTATATGCAATATTCAATAATGTAACATACTTTTTAAAGGCAATTGAATGCTTAAAACATTTCTCACTTCATTTTGACATATATCTTTTTGATCTCACATTTGACTGCTTAAAGTCTATATACCATACTGAGAGCTATACCTCTGTCCAGGAGAGTTCCACACTAACAATCTTGTATAATGTACTAAATGAATGGTGACTTGGATTCAGTTAATAAATGGAAGGGAGAATTATAAAAATATATAAACAAGTATTCAGGACAGACAGAAACTTTCTATGTTAGCTCACATGGCATCAGTGTCACACCCCAAAATGTTTTAAGTTTATGGGTTAAGTTTTCGGTGTCAGTCATTTGCTTGTTACAAATTAAATATATTAATAATTTTCCATTAGTTATAGATATCAATATTTCAATCTCCACAAAATCTGTCTCGCTGGTCAGATAAAATCGTAATCAATCTGATTTAAATCAATAAAATTGTAGAATTTATTTATAGATCTAGGTTTCAGAAGGATACTTAGTGGTATCGGGAGTCCACTTGGTCAGGAAAAATAAAGCGGAAAAAAACATTAATACATAGTTATATAGTAAGTCCTGCAGCATGGTGTTCAACATGTATATATTCACCATAGCTACTATATATACATGTACACATACTAATTAATATCATTGTTGTTGTATGAACTATCATTCTACTAGCAGTCTTTTCATTATTGTTAATCATACAAATTTCATTTTTGTGAGAAAAGTGCTCTGAAGTTTTATTTTCTCAGATTAATACCTATAGCAAAGCCTTGTTAAGGTAACACCTTTTGATCTAGGTAAAACTGTCTGCATTCTTATTACATTGCTATATCAATGTACCTATGACTCGAGAGAAAAGTTCCTATTTTGAATTCTAAATTTTGACTGTACATACAGATGAAGCTGACCCATCAGAGAGACAGGATAGCGAGGAGGAGGAGGAAGAAGATCAGAGTCAGGTCATCACAGAAATACGATTTGTTCCCTCCGATAAAACGTCATGTAAGTACACTTGTATAAAGTTCCACTCACTGTAAAAAGATAAAGCTTCTCTTTTGTATATCTTAAATGTTGTCAATAACAATCTAAATATTCCACCTAGAAATGGTTGTCAGTAGAGTGGTCGGGTCACACATTGGTAACACTTAACCTTCACCTAGATGTCTGGGCTTTGATTCCTTAAAAGGAAAAGGTATTAGAATTATTCTTGAGTATCATGCCTCTCTATTGATTGTATCATAAAGTATATAAAATTTGTGTTACAGTAGAGGTGCTCTTTTCCTCCATGTCTGACTGCCAAGCACTACACCCTGATGAACAAGATACAGATTCAGAAGCTGAGGAAGGTAAGGAAACAAGGCAAGGAGGGTATGTAGCTGAAGAAGGTAAGGAAACAAAGGCTGTATGTCAATAAGGAAGTTAAGGAAGCAAAAAAAAGAGTGTATGTAGCTACGGAAGGTTAGGAGATAAAGAAAGGAGTATATATAGCTGAGGTAGGTTAGGAGATAATGAAAGGAGTGTATGTAGCTGAGGTAGGTTAGGAGATGAAGAAAGGAGTGTATGTAGCTGAGGTAGGTTAGGAGATACGGAAAGGTGTGTAGGTAGCTGAGGTAAGTTAGGAGATAAGGAAAGGTGTGTATGTAGCTGAGGAAGGTAAGGAGATGAAGAAAGGAGTGTATGTAGCTGAGGTAGGTTAGGAGATAAAGAAAGGAGTGTATGTAGCTGAGGTAGGTTAGGAGATAAGGAAAGGAGTGTATGTAGCTGAGGAAGGTAAGGAGATAAAGAAAGGAGTGTATGTAGCTGGGGTAGGTAAGGAGATAAGGAAAAGAATGTATGTAGCTGAGGTAGGCTAGGAGATAAAGAAAGGAGTGTATGTAGTAGTAGCTCAACATTGAAATGCTTGTCATGAGATGTTTTAGAGGTTTCAAAAACTAGATCTAATGGTACATATCCTGTTCCCTATGTGCTATTTTTGGAAAAAGATAAAGACAAGAAGCATTTACAAATTTCAGATAATCAGTTGATTATTAAGGAACATGTTTTTTACTCTGTTGCTCTTTAGAGTTTGATTTGCTCTTGAATTTTTTCACCAAATATTAACCAGGTACTACAGATAGAAATTGTGATGCAGTATTGATCTAACGAAATATTCTGTTAAAAGTCTCTTAGTTTTATTATAACATTATTTCACAAAATAGATTTGATTTAAAAGAAAATGTAGAAACAAATTCCAAGTTAAGATTGAGGATAAAAAAATGTCAATTCTATTTGTAACAGAGGAGGAAATGGCATATTACGAAGGAAGTGAAGGATATGACCACCTCACACAACAAGGGCAGGCCACATTACAACACCTGGAGAACTTGCTCATCTCTGGTCAGGGTGATGGACAAGTACCTAATGGTAAGTTTTATGGTGAAGGTAACAATTAGACTAAAGGTCAAGGGTCGAATGTTAAGTATCATGGTCAGTGCTTCACATATATTACTGTTGTCTGTTGTCAGGGTATCTTTTCTGTTATGCTGATTCAGGGCTCTCGATCTGCCAGATTTGGGGTCGATATTCTGCCCCATTCCCATTGCAAAATAGTATCTTTTTTTCCCAATTTAGACCCCAAGTTTCCCAATTCTACCGCAAACGCCACTATTTTTCCCAATTCTAAGGGCCCCGGGCCCCAGTCCCAGAATGGGGTGTGAGAGCCCTGTGATTTATCATAACTGTAATAAAATGTAATGACAAACAGAAGCCAATTTATCACAAATTTCAATGAAAATCAGACAGACAGAAGAAAAAATCAAGATATTTTCTAAAAGATGTTATTTTTCCCAGTGAGACAGTAGTACATAGATAAAATGTTTGTATCACACGCTGGTCTAGATTTCTTTCTTGTACAGATTTCATGAGAGATACGATTACAGGTTTTGTTCTGATGAATGCCTCTGTTTGAATGCCTTAATAATTCATTTATTTCCTCTAAAACTCTCTCTATATCTTATTTGTTATTCAGGCACAAACGTCACATCAGAGCAATTTGAAGATGCAGATGAGATGGACCAATAACTTCTTTCTGGATTGGTAACCATGACAACAGCTGCTGATGAGATGTACTAATAAATTCTATGTGAAAGGTTATTGGATCGGTAAACTTGATCTCAGGTTCTGACGAGATGTACAAATAAATTCTACGTCGAACGTGATTGGACAGGTAAACTTGATCTCGGGTTATGATCAGTTATACTAATATTCTTACTCGAATGCTATCGGATGGATGACCTTGACCTCACCTTACTACTAGATGGATTAGTAACACAGAACTAGACTGATGAGATGGACAAATAATGTTCATTCTAGTTACTGATGGTCCCATAACCTTGACCCTGATAATTTTTTGAATGGTTATTTGACCTTGACGGTTGTTATTGACCTTGGCTCTAGAGGAGATGGTCCAGTAACAATGACCTCAGCTATTGTGAAAATAATCAAGAGACTTTGTACATTGAAGTTCTTTATGTTACAGTGACCTTCACCTTGTCTGCTCTGGAGAATGTCCAGTAATGTTAGCACTGGAAGGCTGGTTTTTAAAGCGTTGGATTTTCAATGTCAGTTCTTTATTTTTAATTATCAAGCACAATTTATATTAGTTTCTCTTATTTTGAGAATTATTTCAGTCCAACTTTCCACTATTAGTATGAATAAAGGAAGAACTTCAGCTTATACTCAATATTTTCAAATGAGTTTTCCTCATTTGAACATAGGCAAAGGCTAGGCTGTTGGGAGTATTACTAGAATGGGACACATGGGATTATCCTGTGTACTTAGTTAAGAAAGATATCTCCTAGTATATCAAGGTTGTTTTTGAATGTTAAGGTCTATATTAAAAGATCCTCGATTAGCATGAAATTGAAGTAAAATTTAAGAAGGGGATTCGGTGTTGATGATACTTTGGCCTTTTATGGTCAATTCATTGGTTACTTTGTGAAACAAAAGACCCCGAACTTTTTCTATGGTAATGTATATGTTTACTTTCGAATGTTGTCCATTGAAAAGTGCAGTCATCATCATAGTAATGATCATGTGATGTCCATTCCATAAAATGTATGAAGCCTCATTTAGTGAGAGAGACAGAGAGAGGAGAGGGAGAAAGAGAGAGCATGAGCGATAGAGAGAGACAGAGAGAGAGAAAGGAGAGAGAAAGAGAGAGCACGATCAATTGAGAAAAACGGAGAGAGAGAGGAGAGAGAAAGAGAGAGCGCGAGAGACAGGGAGAGAGAATGAAACATAAAGGATATCATGTATCATATTGTTAACCATTTACTGAAAATAAAGCGAAAATATCATCAAGTTTCTTTGTTATATTAAACATGTTACACATTGTGTATGTGGCAGCAGAAGATTATTTCTTTATCTCATAAACAGACTGTTTTTAGCTGTACTATCAAGGTCAAGAGGCTGGATTAAAGTTAAAGTTAATATGAATTACTATCCAGACACTGGCCCATATTTTTTCTGAGGCCTTAAGTGGGTTAGACTTTTTTCTTTTAAATAATGATGAACATCTTAGTTCAGAAGCATTTTACTAAGTAGTAAATGGCCAGCGTGCAACAACACCTTAAGGGAGGTAATTGACTTAAATTGCCAAAAAATATCTAAATTTTTTCAGCAGTTTTGACACAATCAAGCAAAATATGAAGAAAAACCACTACCAGTATGATTTGAAGGTTGATCTGAAATCTTGGGGGTTAAAATTCTGTAGAATCTCATGCTCTGTTTTGCTTTTAACACATTTTATTACAGATCTTGCGGAATAGTTTAGGTAAACATAGTAACAGATTATATCGGTAGTATTCCATGTACAGCCTTGTCCACACATTCCAGTGTATTGACAAGCTAGATAAACTGAACATAACTATATTTTTGTGTCATGAATGACACCAATAACCTTCTTTTCATTTTTCTGAAGAATAAACATGAGAACTTGTATATGCTATATCAGCTAAAAGAAGGACAAACACTCCGAAGTTAAGGTTTTGTGTTTTATTGAAACACATTATAAATATCCACTTTTAAAGATCATTTACAGACATACTTGATTCAACCAATGATATGAAACACAAAAAGTAAAAGTTCAAAGGTTAGGATGAGGTCAGCTGGGGTTTTTTAAAATAAATTATGGTAAGTAAGCTATTTGGAGAAAAAAAAAAGACAAACAGTAATATAATTCCTTTATCAATAATACACAGAAAATATCTAACGTTACATGTACTAGTTACTTTCAAATTGCACACAAGTACTAATGTCGTAGTTTCTATTTCTAATATTTCATGGTTGCTACATCTGTCTTGTTCGAATTCTAATTATCAAAGATGTATTACTTTTTATTACAAAACTAAATTTTCTGTCAAACTGAACATTTTTTTTTATTTTACTGTAAAAAAAGCCAGAAATTAAATGTGGTTATAATTGGTTCTGATCTTGAAATACTAAACAGAAACTCAAATTGTAGACATGTATGCATTTAGAAATATACAGGTAAGACAGTTGATCTATATGATAAACATGGTTATTTTACATGGCTTATCAACAAATGAGATCAGTTAAATTGCAAAGAAAAAAAAAGAATAAACAAAACAATGGTGATACATATCACAAAGTAGATTGCAGCAAAATCTGACATACCAACAGTCAAACTTGTCTCTTACACTAGATAAAACATTACAGACAAAATGTTTTGGCCTATGAAGGTGGACATTTTCTAAAGACACATTTGTATTAATTCATTGTCAATTATGAACAACTGGCCATTTGTTTTGGATGCAAATTTGTGTATGGAACTTGACCTACACAGTTTTAACACTGAGGACAGTTGTGGATGGTGAATTTCCCTGATATTATTCCGTGAATCACATACATAGATGAGATCTACATTTCTCGTCCATTCATGAGAGTATATTGAACTAAAATGGCCTGAATATGTTTTCATCAAAACACATTCAACTTTGGGTTATAACACACACATGATCATTTTGCTAATCTCAACTTTGTGTGATGGTAGATGGATGTAGTCATTGATAAATATTTGAGTTAACAAGTTTGACTGTTTAGGAAGATACATTTTAAATTGTGACACAGACTAAACTGATAAAAATGCAGCTTTAACAAACCAGTCCTACTATGTAAACACACTACAGTTGTAAACCTAAAAACTACAGAAATATACACTTTCCTTGCACAGACAACTGACACATTTTAGTAATAGCCACTGTCTGACCAAACTACAGTAAAAGCTATGATTTTGTATACACAGCAAAGCAGCATAATTCATCAAAAGTGTGCCAAAGACTTTGTGCCAAGAAACTGAACTTTCAATGTTGATGAATGAAATGAGCTCAGTTTTACATCTGTAAAGTGTGATAAGGTAGAGAAAACTGATGTACTGAGAAGTAAAACCAATCGGACAGCAAAGTCAATAAATGTATCCCAGCAATTTGATATCTATATTTGACATATTATAGAGTGCACAAGCTAGACATCCAGGTACCGAGAGTCTTATTTTTAACAGTGATTTTGGGGAAGGGAGATAACTACTTAACTGATATCACTCAAGGGGGATAAGTGTTGCATGTATTTAGTAGGGTGGCACATAACTAAAGGTGAATACTTGTAGTAGTGTAAATGTTAATACAAAGCTTTATGGTCTAAAAAAAATTATCATTATTGTAATCCTGCTAAAATACAGGGACATACCACACAGACTTAGATATAGATATCTAAGTTTGTGGACCTAACACAGTATCAAGCAGAGATTGAAACCGAAAGCAAAATATCAACAAGATTCAGATTTTGATCAAATAAAAGTAACACTAATACCTTTTTTTTCTAATTCACATTTCTTAAATGATTTATGTAATTTGTAGTTTATAAGACTTTGTATAACAACCTCTATGGTAACAGTGATGTGCCATCAAACATGAGGTAAAAGTGAAAATATCCATGGCAATAAGTTACAGGGAGGTATATATAGTCAGTTTTTCAAATCCATTGCCTTCCTGATTTAGCTGCCAAATTATGTAATAAGTACTGTAGTTTTTTTGTTATACAACTTGATTTCATGCCACATTTAACACCTTATTTTGTTTCTGATTAAAAGGAGTTATGTGTGCTCAGCGTTGAGTCACTAGTATACACATACATACGAAACTCAATTGCTTTGTCTCAAAACAGTTACTCAACTTGAAAAAAAAAATATGTTCAACCACAACAGAATGGAACAATGTGGCAAAAAGTTGAAAATAATATATTTCTCAGTTAAAAGTTTGTGCCTGAAGCAATAAGACCATGTCTGAAAATAAGCCCATTCATATACAGCTCTTAAGTAGAAATACCCACTAATATCACTACATTGTTCTGCAGTAACTCATCCCCCGTTCCTGTGTGCACCTCCATCGCCTTTTGGTGGCTAAATATTCCTGATGTATGGTCAGTAAAATAAAAAATAAGGTTACGATGTTTATCTTTTGTCTGTTTCATCAGAGTTACTTTAAACATTATTGTTAATGTTACTTTATGAATGAGACTTTATACAGAAGATAGTATTTATTTTAAACTTCAAACCTAAGAAAAGTTCATATCTCACAGTACTACTTAAAGTTTATGTCAAAATGAAAAAAAAAAAAAAAAAAAATAAACTTGAGGAATCAAGAAATCAAAACTGAAGTATCCAAGTTAAACAAGGGAGGGTTGGTAAAGGTCTTCCACAGGTGACACAACATCTACAGTTATTCTGCTAACCAGTTCGGGAGATTATACCTAGATGTCTAATATTTCTGAACAGAGTCTATATATATATATATATATACCACCAATTTTTTTTGTTAAATTCTTACCAGTTATATCGATCTCATGATTTTTTTTTTAAGTGTTATGAAGTAAATCTTCTAGGATCATAAAATGCCTAGTTTGATTCTGGAATGGAAACTTTTTCATCCTGTACATATTTCATGACCTACCACTGTTTAATTTTGTCAATTCCTTAAGAAATAATGATAACCCTCCCACTAGATAACTCTGACCTATCACTATCTAAACAAGTGTCTGAACATAAATTACACAACTTAAGTAACAACACAGTTACATTCAATTCTGAAATTCACAAAATACCAATCCAATGTAATACTATAAAAAAGTAGAACATGTTTTTCATATTGTGTCATCCAACTAATTTGAAAATCACACATTTTAACATTAAACAGATAAACGTGAAAAAATTGTAAGTATAGAAGAACAAGCAAACACGCTTCATTTATCTTATCGACTTTAACATAGATCTGAACTGAAGTGTAAAGAGATTGATCCACCAGACAATACAGATTGATACATATTAGATACTGTATCTCACTATTAGCAGTAAAAATACCTGGTAATTATAACCTATCTATACTGATAAAAAAAACTAGTAATAATTTTTTCATTAAACAAACTTTCAGTTCTTACATCAAATTTGTCAACTCCATGTTGATATAGTATATTATTGGAAGATCAAAATGAATCCATTTACATTTGTAAAGTACAGATTTTTTTTCCGTTTCAATTTATGACACAGACAAGTAATAATTGCCAGGCAGTTAGTGATTCTTTGTCTCTTTTGCATTACCTCAGTTGGCTAACCTTTATTTCAAACAACAACAAAACTCAAATTCAAAAGCTGAGAAAAAAACAACTAGTAAAATACAGCAGCTTCTATTTCAGATGAAACTTTCAATGATTTATAAAGTTTATTATCTGTATTCAAAAAATGATATAGACATTCTATAAAAAGTTAAAAACTACCTGTTATCAAAGAAACAAAATGGAAAAAAAATCTTCAAGACAGCATATTTGTCAAGATAATAACATGCATAACACTTTCTCCAGGTTGGAAAATAAACTTATTGGCTATCCACAAGTCATTCCTTTAACAATTGTCACTGTATAATTACTGGTATATACAAGAACATATCATAAAAAGACATTGATCATAAAACTGAAAATAAATATATTACATGTCTCTTGTTTTTTCTGTTTTAGTGTGAACGTCTTTCACTTGTACAAAATATAAGTTTCTGATTTGTGGATTAAACAATGACAATATTCCATCATTATTATGAGGTGAGAGGAGATGACAGCAGCGATGAGACGATGATGTTGATGTCTAAGAGAAACTACCGTGTCACACTGATGAACAACAAGATGACTTATACAGTGATCGATGACAATACTGACGATGAATGCGATTTAAATCTATATGAGATATAATTAAGATGGCTGTTAATGGTCTAGATGAAAGCGATGAAAATGATATGAATTAAAATCTTTTAGATGTTTGTTGATAGTGACAATGTTTTAGATGTGTGATGATAGCGACAATGTTTTAAATGTGCGATGATAGTGACAATGTTTTAGATGTGTGATGATAGCGACAATGTTTTAAATGTGTGATGATAGCGACAATGTTTTAGATGTGTGATGATAGCGACAATGTTTCAGATGTGCGATGATAGTGACAATGTTTTAGATGTGTGATGATAGCGACAATGTTTTAGATGTGCGATGATAGTGACAATGTTTTAGATGTGCGATGATAGTGACAATGTTTTAAATGTTTGATGACAGTAACAATGTTTTAAATGTGCGATGATAGTGACAATGTTTTAGATGTGCGATGATAGTGACAATGTTTTAGATGTGCGATGATAGTGACAATGTTTTAGATGTGCGATGATAGCGACGATGATTTAGATGTGTGAAGATAGCGACGATGATTTAGATGACTACAATGATGATGGTTGAGATTAAAGTTGATAATGATGATGACAGTCCAGATGAAAGTTGATATTGATAACTTATGATGTGACAATGTTTTAGATGAGTATAATAATGACGATTAGGATGACAGTTGATAACGATGACAGATGAACAATGACAAGGACAATGACTAATGATGGCTTGAGATCAGTTATAAAGCCTATACATTTCTAGGTAAAAATTGGCACAAGACGGTTCCCTGCACTGTTATAGTTTGATTGGCTGATGATATCTGATGTCACTTCTCTCCTGGTCACTACGGAAGACAACCATGTCCAGAGTGATATCCTCAATGACCAGTGTCCAGAGCAATGTCCTAACACTGTATTGTGATCAGCAAATTTTTCTCATAAAATTTAAATCATAGTTTTTTTTTCAACTACCAGAAGTATTCTTTGCTAATAAGCATTACTTAAGTGATATATCTACAATTCAACATCCACCTTTATTTTCTCGTATTAATTGACATTGTAAGTCATTTAGCATGAAATTGTAAGATTACAGTTTCAATATTTAAAAGACATAGACACATAAATATTTTTTTTTAATCCTAGAGAAACTTTTAAACTATTGACCAAATCTATCAATACCACCATACCTTTTAAAACATTTCCAAGTAGGATAAGGACTACAATTTGGACGGATACAGAAACGAGGACAATTTGCTGAGGGATATCACACTGGACAAGCTGTTGTGATATGATTGGACAATCTCAACATTTATGTAAATTGTGGTTTATCCTCATTTGCATAGCTTTGGTAGCCATTTTTCTCCTGCATTCATTATGTAGAACAAAGTTTTCCTTAGAATATATTCCTGGGTTTCATGGTTATGTAGATGGAGATATATTCCCTGATTTTTATCAATCGTTGCTGCAGTTCTTCAATATATTATATACAAAATTGAAGGATAAGTTTGTTGAACATGTCCTCTACCGATCTATCCCACATGAAATTTTAAACTTTTTTCTCTTCAGTTTTTTTGTTGTTTTTTTTTGTTGTTTTTGTATTTTTGTTTTAAATTATTACAATTTAAACTTAAAAATATACAAAATAGTATAACATTATTTTGGAAAAGAATTCTTTAATTCCTGTGAATACAGCCTCTATATTTCATGTAAGATAGAGGTTTACCGGTCCTACAGGTAAATAAAAGAAAATCATATTTTACATACCACAAACAAAATCTTCCAAAGACCAGAAGATTTGAGAAACATGCTTGAATCTCTCCTCCATGGTAAAATAAATAATTATCTTTCAAACACCCAGGACTTCTTAGTATTGTACATTTCTTATAAAATAATTTAACCTGTCAATAAATAAGTCAGCCACTTCTAACAGCATGGACACCTGTCTCAGTAATGACATCACAAACCCTAAAAGTATTCATCCCAACATTAACCAATTCTATCTTTAAGAAACCCCAGTTCAACACCATTTCTTCATTACAGCAAAATCATATATTTTTGTGGGACTGAAAATCATGGGTTTTTTTTTCAACTTGCCTTTCCTTTAGGTATCTGCTATTGAGAAGCAGATGTTAGTTACTCAGGAAATCTCCTAAAACTAAAAATGAAGAAACTATTCACTATTTATCAGATACAGTTATAAATTATGAAATGTGATGTTGACGATAACATGAATCAATTAAAGAAGAATTTGAGCAATTGAGTAAATTCTAAGTTACTGGATGGAATTTTCGAAAAGAAAATAGAATTCTGCTTCAGAAGAATACAGGTAGGATTTGTGATGTATCATTTGTTGTAGTATTTCAATTAATAATATTCAGTCACTCATAAGTAATCTATTAATGCACACATATATAACTGTCATCCATTTTCTCCTAACTAAATTTCTTCTTTAGAATATCTTTGGAACAACAACATCAATTCTTTATCTTTCATCTTGATAAGTTTATCAACATATGTGTTCAATATTTGTCTTCATTTTCCAGGAACAATTTTCTCTAAATTATCCTAAATACCTCCACAGTTTCATCTTCATCAAACAAAAAACGGTGAATCAGTAATAATGAACTTACATTTGAAGTAAATTACTTTAGATTCATCATCTCCCTAAAAAAAAACATAAATAAACCAAAAAAGAGACCATCTACGAAAAATATGCCTTTTATAAAAGTATATCCTGAGAAAACTTGATACTCTTCACTATGTTTGAGGATGCCTGTATGATGATGTGTGTCTGTCTTTCCAACCTCTCTAGAATGTACATGGTTTGTGTGTGTTATACACATTGCTCTCTCTCTCTAGACGGTACATGTTTGATTGTGTTTCATCAGTGTTTAAGGCAGTGTCTGTTCCTTAAATCTCTTTGATGACTTGTTTAGGTATATGTGGAAGTTTCTCCTCCTTTCTGTCCTCCTATTTCTCAAGTATACACAAGAAACATTCTCAGCTGGTTAATGCTGGTACCTACAACAGCCAGAAAACACATATTAACAAATCCGGTTTTAGAATTCCACACAAGTCTGCATTAAACCTATCACAATATGTAATACTCATTTGAATATCTGTGTATATCTTGTAAATTCTATTAACATGATATACCTTTAGGTTGGTAATATTGTTCATATTCTGGAGCTCATTAACATCCGTTGTCCGAGGATGGTTTGGATAATTTATTACAGGTAACACCTCGAAGCACCTGACCCTGGAATGTTTCACATTTTCATAAATTTTAAAGCCTGATTCCTTTCATCTGTTCTACTTACATTTGTGTGATGTTGAAACTTGTCGTAAATATCGCACAACTCGTCAAGTTTGTATTGCGCTAATACAACAAATCCCTCCAGAACAGAGCTGATACGGCGAGCACAATCCTGACAGTGGACCACAAACTTTTTGTCTTGTTCCGTCACAAACAGGATATCAAACACTTCCACCTGGTGACAGAAATTGATACAATCTTAAGACGTGTTGTTCATTGTTTGTTTACTTAAAAAAATGATATTGGTCTCACAGATAATTCTCGAATGTTAAAACACATTGGTAGATTGAAGTACTTGGTTACACACACGAGACAAAATCTGTATAAAAAATGGTATACTAGGATATGTTGTTCTTGTACCATAATATATCAATTTGCTTGATGTACATTTCTCTCTCTGAGAATTGTATAAACTGGTTTCATAAGTGTAACAAATTTTTGCCCTAATCTTAAATTCGCCCTACCTGTTCAGGGTGAAAAATGTAACTGGTGAAAATTTTCCAGTACACAGTAGTCATGTGATCAGTCATGTGATCAGTCATAAATAAAGACAGATAAATAGCAACAGGGATTAGTAAATCATAAGATTGCTCCAGCAAACATTTCTACGATCTGACTACCTGTACATCTTACCTCACATTCGTTACAATAATGAGCTGCCTCCGACTCTGAGCGGCCATGCCACTTCACCTCCAAACCAAGGTTTTCCACAAAATCCAAGGTAAAGCGTATCTGCTGTAAAGACCGCAGTAAGCAGGACCTACAGTACAAAAAATGTTTAATTAATTCAAGTATCCTTCAAATCAGAACAATTTCAGTCTGGTCCATCCTATTGTCTGGCAAGAATGACTTTTGTTATCAAGTCTGGTGATTACATACATTCTTAGAAATGATAAGTTGTTATTTGTTACATGTAAAGTGTACACTGCATGCCAAATAAATAATCTCTCTTAGATTCTTACAACAATTATCAGTTGGGCTAACTATATGTTCCCTATTCATATTTTGACTCACAAGTAATCAGCATTGGAAAATCTTATCAGTATTGACTAGATTATCTGAGAAACAGGTGAATAATGAATTAAAATGTGGACATTTCATCATCTGATAACACCCAATCTGTATATGAACACTTACTTGACAAGTTCAAAGAACTTTGGTTCGGAGATGTGAAGGTTACGTGCTATGTTCCATGTGAGATGCACCATGGGTACAATGGATTTGTAGTTCTGGAGCTTGTTCCATTCGTATCTCTCAAGAGCCAGTTTATATTGTCTGGCGTTCACTGGACCAACGTTCCACGCAATATTGTTACACCAGCCCTGCAAAATGTAACAGTGCAGATGAAATACCATTACTGCATAAAGAATCTAGGCATCGAAACAGGCTAACCTTATATCTATTTATAAATGACCTTTGAACTCACATCTTGTAGCTTGTAAATATATGACCTTTGTACCTGACACAACTTTTAACCTGCAAATATAGGAACTTTGAACTTACCACAGCTTGCACCCAGTGGACTGTGCCAGCACTGACCCAAACCAGGTCACCAGGTTTTTGTATAAACCTATAGACAGGAATGTCTTCCTCATATAGATCCTCCAACATTGGCCACCAGGACCCTGTCAGGTAGTCCACACTGTTCCTACAATAAAGTCTGAGGTTAGTCTCATACATCAGGTATATTACACCATATGTAAGGCAGTAAAATTACACAATACTCCATGTATGTGTCAGAATAAACTCACTACATATATCATGGCATTCTTATATGTTTGGAAAATCCCAAAGAATGCTTTAGCCTTGTTAACAATACCATATTAATGCATGGAATGAAAATTATCGCTTTTAAATAGTAAATGATCTTTTGTTTAGTTAAAGGCCTGAAATTGACAGCAATCACTTGTTTGTGGACATACTTCTGACACATATTGTAGATCATGCCCCAGTAAGGCTCTGGCACTCCAAACCACTCACAGTCTCCTGGACCAATGTTTACATTGATAGAACAGTAGTTATTGTTCTCTTGGTGGCCTGTGGAAAAAACAACCATAACTGTACAATTTTCCAATCAATTTGTACAATAATTTTCAATCTTCCTTCGATTACTAAATCAAAAGTTGTACTGTTTCAAAAACTTCTATGTTCAAGATGTTCTTTTTCTCTTGATACCAGAATAGCAGAATTGTTATCAAACCATAATGATAATGTAATAAAGAGTTGGTATTATCAATCATTTCCTGTTGTCTCCCTGACAAAATTTTCTCAATTCAAGTTAAACTCACAGAATTCAGTTCAGGTCACAACCCCATACAGGACAAGTGTAAGTGTGCATAGTGAATGGTGATCAAATATATTTTAATCAGATTCTAATTGCCAAGGACACAATCTCAACAGCATCTTAGAAAACATAAACCTTCTTGGGCAAGGATGAACTTGCATCTATGAGGTTTCAACAATTCCAACTACCTGGTGTGTGTGAGACCTACTTGGTGAGACCTACTTGGTGAGACCTACTTGGTGAGACCTACCTGGTGTGGGTGAGTGTGATCTACCTGGTGTGTGAGACCTCCCTAGAGTTTGTGACCTACCTGGTGTGTGATCTACCTGGTGTGTGACCTACCTGGTGTTCGTGAACCTGGGACCTTCATGTACAGCTGGACAGTGTTCATGCCTAATATAGTGTGGCCCACATGACTCATCATATTGGAAGCAGAGATAACACGAGCAAATGCAGGTAACTTGGTCAGCTCCATCAACTGGGGTTTCCATTTCTTCTCGTCCGAAAGATCAACATTTGTACCGAATTTTATAATTTTCCTCTTCTTGCTATTTTATAGTAAAAAAAAAAACAAAATTTGTTTAAACAGGTACAATGATCTGATACTTAAAAATCTCATGTGACTTAACAATTACTTATAACCAAATGTTTTATCTTAATATAAACCTAAATGAAGGACATTGACTTGTACAGGTTTGGTGATCAATTTACCTTGTTAATTTTTATTTCATTGATTAGAAAAAAAACTATTATGAATGACCCCCTTAGAGTTATATATTTTTTTTAATTATTATTATATTACTTTTTTATCATTTTATGTCTTAAGCATAAATGTTGTATGAGTTTTTACAGTCTAGTAGATCATAAACTCACGGCTTTGGTCCTGAAGAGGAGTTGGAATCACTGTCGGAGTCCTTCTGGATATGTGTACCTTTGACTTTTTCGTTTTCCTCCTGGAATCAAAAGGAAGTGTAATGTTACATTTGAATTAATACATGTTCAAGTATTGGTATCGTCAAATTTTCTCATAAAATCTGTGGAATACATGTACCACCTCCAATAAGGAAAAAATGTTGCTAGATATACAGGAACTATTGTAAAGTTTAATTTCTGGAAAATGACAAAAAAGGTAAGTCATTTAAAATGAAATCCACTGTCACTTAAAACAATCCTGCTACAATTAATATGTTGAGAAGGGCTCTCCTGAGAGACAACAAACAACTCTCTAAACGAAAGTGAAAATTTGAACATGGGGATTTTTTTTTGGACAGACACCCATTCTGTCTCCAGATGAGTGCTACACATGGTAGACTTACTCTCAGAGATTCCTGGAAGGATGCTGCCTGGTACTGAGCATACTTGGCAACAGTTGTGTGGCCCCGACTACTGTCACAGCGCCACATACGGTTCCCATACATATCACAGTTTTCATCCGGTGCTTGCTGTTTCTGTAACAAAACATCACAACCAAAATGTAGTCTAAGTATTCTTTACAGTAGCTATAAGCTACAATATCTTTCTAAATATCAAGGATATTTTTTCTTAATATTCTAAGGATGCATTCATTAATAAACCAAAAGAATACTTTTTAAGCCTAAACAATCAATACCTATTATATTAAATACAACCTTAAATTTTAAAAATTAAATTATACAAGTCATTGCAGTATACATTATGTCAAACAAAGTAATTCAGCCTGCACCGTCCTCCAGCATTACCTGAGTTCTGACTTCAACAGGATGATCAGCATTAGCCTCCACCAAACTTTTTGTAGAGAAAAGACCAAGGTCTGAAAACGAAGCAATTCTCACATTAGGGTCAAATATACAGTAAGTAGAATTCATCCTGTATACTGACTTTAATAGAGTACTTTTTAACATTAAAATTAAATTACATTGGATTACTATGAAATTATGCAGAATTTTCTTCAAAATAATTTATCACATTTAATTTGATGGAAAAATGCACATTATATCTGTGGGATAAATCTCCTCTGTATATTATTACAGTATAAGCTGTATACAAACATTGAGTGAGAAAATTGAAAACTAACCTAACTTGAGAGCACCAGCTAGCCCACGAATCACTACAACCGGCTGTGAATAACAGTACTGTTGAAGTTCTAAGGAAAAAGCATCCTTTTTGGTCTCAAGCTGTAAAAGATATTAATAATAAATTAGAAACACATAAAGAAATCAACCTGACTTTGACCCTAGGATTCCCTCCAGTAATTCCTGCCAACTCCCCCTATAATCAATACAGGGTCATATCCACCAGGTACTGTGTATGTAATACTGGTATACACTATATGTATCCATTGTCACATATTCTGTAACTCATCACATCTTCCCATATAGTGATACACCCCCTAGGTTTGCTAAATGTATATGACTTTGTTATTGATTTGAACAAACTTTACAGCTGTGCTCCATCATTTATCATATTTGAAAAAAGAGATTCTACTACCAGACAATTAAATTCGTAAAAAGATTTCATTAATCTATATATACATTTTTAAGAATATTCTGTCTCTTTCAAAAACTGATGATAAACATAGTAATAAATTAAATTATTCCATTATTACAAAAACATTCACAGAGGTCAATTTTAAACCAAGATAATTTAAAACAATCCTTTATCATTAGCAATCCACAATGAGATACTCACATAAACGCTGGGAGTTGGGGGGTTGAGTGCCTCTTTAGGGAGTGGGGGGTATGGTGGTGAGGGAGGACGAGGTGGACATCGATCTCCTAATAAATTTGTTGTGATACCATTCTTCCCTACAGTGTGGAAAAATGAGTATTTTAGAGACCTCAACCTAGCTAATCATTTGTCAATGCAAAATAACACAGAAAGTAATACAATTTCAAAACCAAAGTCAAAGTTGTGTTGTTCCTTTTTTTTTAGCATCAAGATTATGATAAGAAACCTTGCATAAAAAATATGTATGTAATCAAATATTGATAATCTGAAAATGAAGAGACTTAAGGCTACATACTACCTTCTATGACATACTCTATCATTGGTAATATCCATGCCAGAATTAATTACATCATATTTCACAAACAAACATACCAAGCAAACATTTCTACATTGGAAGAAAATTTCATAATTGTCTATTATGTCTGTATATAAGGACAAAAGTTAATAGGTATGTTCAAAATCAAACACCCATTAACTAGTCCAAAACCAGGACAACTACGAAAAGTAAAATTCAAATCTATACAGAATTGTATCTAGTGGTATATATGACTTAAGGCTAAATGCTACCTCCCTATGTAATTTCATATCTAGTAATATAATAGATTACATCCCACCTTTCCTTGCATGGGATTTATCTTCATGTGCTACTCACCATGTCCCTTGCAGGCTTTGAGTATTTCTTTGCCATTCATGGAGATGTTTAGATTACAAGTAGATGGGATGACGCGCGATTGGATAGTTATTCCCGGTCTTTTAGAGTCTATATCACACTTGACGCTGTATTCCCGCTGGGAGAAAGAACCAGTTGTATTCTCTTCCTCCTGTTTGGCTTTACCCTGAGACACAGAGGAATGTACACTGGACATATCAGAATTAACGTCCTTTGTTTGTGGCGTTGTGTGTGTGGGCATGCGACTAGGATCCCCACCTGCAGTGTGTGGTGTGGCCTGCTCAGCAGATTTTTTATTGTCTGAGTTTGAGCCACAAGAAAACTGCGCAAGCAGGCCCTCCGCAATTGAGGTAGGATCGTCAGCACGAGACGACAATAAAGCTATATCATTCTTGTTCCAATGATCACTAACAAAGCTTTGAAGGTCTTTTGGCAGTCCCTGATCTGATGATGAAAGTGATGAGACTGAAGATGGTGATGATGACATGTTGTTTGAACCCATTGGCCGCTGGCTGTTGTTGCTGCCTTGGAAACCAGCTGTATGTGGGGCGTTGACCATTAGCGGTGACAAACTGGGAGGCCCAGATCCCTGAGATGGTGGTGGCGTTGGTGCTATATTGCCTGGAATGTTACCTTGCTGCTGTGTCTGAGGTAGACTTCCGGAAATGGCTGGATGGGGACTGCGAAGTGGCATCCCATTGAGCATATCCAGACCATGTCCATGAACTCCCCCTTGTCCGTGTCCCATCCTGTCAAAACCAGGGGGAAGTGGGGGTGGCATTTTAGCTGCCTCATTTCCTACCTCTGAGTTTCCATGTTCATTTTTAATTCCTCCTTGCATAGGAGGCATTCCATGATGTAAACCCATCCCTCCCATAGGGTTTTGTGACCCCATGGGTGAGGGAGGTGTCCCACCCCCAGGAGAGGTCTGGAATGGGTGAGGGGGACGGGACCCAGGGGAAAACCTAGGTCCAACCATGCCTCCCTGTGCAGGGCCCCCAGGACCCACTGGGGAATGCTGCTGAGCCTGTTGCATCTTCATCTGATGCTGCTGTTGAAGAAAGTATTGATGCTGCAGATTTTGGAGGAGCTGCCTCTGTTGGGGGTCCAAGGACGACTGTAATATTGATGATAAAAGTTAAGCAAGAGTTATCTCCCTTGAACAAGCTCTCTCTAGCCTGATAGTGCATTTGTACTTCAATGTCCAAGCTATATTCTTTGACAAATGTTTACTTTCAAAATTGAATTTGTTTATGCAATTGCCATTTAAACAACAGGTACCTAAATTTAATGAATGAAAATGAAATGAAATATTCAAGATCTTTTTATTTCAGATCTCTTCTGAAATCTGTGCCCTATAGTATCTTGTGACATCCTATCAATGCGCCGTAAATCTCAAAATGTTTATATGACAGCAGTGTAAAATTGACGAAGAAAAAAATATTATGCAAATAACCAGGATGTGAATGTTTCCTGACATGTGAAGGATTCACATTACACATAAGATCCTAATTGACATTAAACAAGACACAAAGTTTGGCTCACCTGATTCTGCTGCAGTCTGTGAAGCATCTGCATCTGTTGTGGGGTGAGATACTGGGGAGGGGGTGGAGTAGGGGGGTCCAATGGCTCTGTGGCAGGCTGTAGGTACAAAACATATAATTTATCAATGTCCCTTTTAATACTCATATCAATCAGCATCCTATATAACAATTAATCAGTCTATTCCAGACATATAAAAAATTATGTGCAAAACATTCCAGTATGCTTCCAGTTCCTTTTTTTGGGTAATGAACTAAATAGAATCACACTTTGAGACACCAACATCAATTGATAACAGTAAAACAAATGTTCTTTACCCTTTTGCGTGATTGCCCTTTTTTCTTTTTGATGGGTCCTTCTTCAGCACCTCCTGAGGTAACGGCAAAAGACCCTTGTTGCCCTGGAGACACAGAGTTGGGAACCATTCCAGATTGTGGGCCCATTGGTTGGGAATGCATCATTGGTGCCTTTCCCTGCTGCTGTAAGAGGGAGAGTTACAGAATAACAAAAAATGTAAAAAAAAAAAAATTGATCACTGTACAAGTATGCCTTTAGATAGGTCTGAATCAAAACAGGACCTTTCTTAACACTTTTTATTTGAGATATCCTCGGTGCAAACCTAATGCATGTTTGAAATAAGCTCAGCATTATACATTCTGGGAAACAGATATATATGCAAACATGTACAAAGGAAAAAGACATCTTCCCTATGTGGAAAAAATTATGTACCTAGTTTATACCTGATGAAAGGTTATAGACCAAATTTACTTGTGGGGTCACTATTTCCCCTTGGCGAGATGCGAGTTCTGAAGGATTTTGAAAATACTTACTTGTGGGGTCACTGTGGCCCCCTGGCGAGATGTGAGTTCTGCAGGAATGGGCAGAGCCCAAGCTTCTTCTATGCTAGGTAGAGTTCTAGGCCTGTAATAGATCAACATCCATACAATACATACCAACAGCAGGTCCTCGCACACCTGTCTAAAACCCCTCAACATTTGTTGATTTATTCATTTATCATTAATTTTTTTTTCAAAATTATTACAACTTCTTTCAAAACAATAATGGGAAAAAAATGAAAAACTACCAAAATACAGTGTTTATGACTGAGGAAAATACTTTATTTTTTTTAATAACAAAGATTGCACTAAAATATGTCTGTTCCTCGAAGAGATAGGACTTCACTTTTGCTAAAAAAAATGTATCTTACCACAAACACAAATAAAAGTTTACACAAGTCTGATACCTGACAAAGAGTATCAGGTACTGTACTTACTTATTTTGAAGCAACTGCACTCTAACGCTATCAAGGTTCTGCTGAAGAAATTTTATCTTTGTTGCCAAATTAGAGTTGAAATTTTCTGTAAAAAAAAAGAAAAAAAAAATTTAACACAGATTATCAAAGTCGCTGTAAAAGATATAAACCTGGTCAGAAGGTCACAGGTTAGAAAAGAAATGTAAAAAACCAATAGTTCTTGTCTATTACTGCATGCTCAAATGTACTACATAGGTACATAGCATGATCTACATGGCATGGATGTTCCCATGCACATTAAGTCTCATTGTTAGAAATAAATATGAAAAAAGATGTCAAATGTGACCATTGATCTTTCAGCCTTGGCCAATGACCATCTCAAAAAGACCACGTCTAAGACCTGATATTATGATACTATTGGGTAAATATAAACCAAAATGTCTCAAGTTAATACTTTATTATGAATGAGGTGGATGTGACAGAAGTTAAAGGTATTAGGTGGGATGGCCAGACATGAGTAATATTCAATATTCATTTTGAAAAGTATTGATGAAATTTCATTTTGGATTATTACCTTATCAAATGAAATAAATCATGATTTGTACAGCTACCGTAATTCTATAAATGTGCTATCATTTTTGTAGACTGTTTTAAAGTAACAAATCCATTTAAAATGTACAAATATTTTGCACAGCTACCGTAACTATAATGGGCAGCAGTCCTGTTTTATAGTTACTCTCCGTATAATGTATAAATCTTTCGTACAGCTATCAAAACCCTATAGATGTACAATTATGTTATACACCTGTTCTACGGCAACTGATCGTATAAATTGACAAGTTTATATTAATGGTCCATATAAATCGTACAAACCATTTGTACATCTACAGTAACTCTATCCCATGTACCAATAGTGAGACAGATCACAAAGAATCGATACGCAAGAAATTTAAATATCACCAAGAAATTAGGTCGTGCATTTTACTGCTATCTTACAAAGCTATTAGAATCTTTTATTACTTGACTCAACATTTGTCTGCTATTAGATGCTTCCAAGTCTAACCCTCATAAATCTGGAATTTAGGCAGACATGCTCAATAGAATTTGGCAGAAACTGGAATAACATCAATTTAAATATTCCATACAATTGATGTGTTCTTGATATCACTTACTAGCACAAATAGTTACTAACAGGTAATTTCCATTATTACTTGGTGGTTTTAAACCATTGTTATATAGTATACATTTTGTACGTAACTTTAATTCTCAATAAGCTATCATGTTTCGTCAAATCTAATATTTTCATAAAGTAAATATTCAAATTGACTCTATCTTTTGCAGTTGGAATACTGAAGACAATGCCAGCCACAAATAAGTGTAATTGCCACAGTGAAAGTCAGTGATTCACTGTTATATGAGAGAAGTAAGACAAATGGTTTAAAGTCGCGAAGGCAGCCTGCTGCACACGATCAATACGCTCTCCCAAAGGCATGGAACAAAACTCAGCTTGGAAATATCAATTATACTTCAAATCTGCTTAATATTTTTTTTTAGTCCATACAAGAACAAAATACAGATGATAATTGCTACCCAAATGCCTATTTCTGTGGTATGCATGTGAATTGTGAAGAAAGGCTCCTGTCACTGCATAACACTGAAATCAGTTCTCAGTAGACTACACATGCATTAAGAGTTTTGACAACATGACTTGGAAGGAGTTCCATTTTATGATGTTATACATGCAAAACTGCATGTTGTTCCATATGCCTTTAATTACATTGTATAGGCTATCAACTTCTCTCTCCTATCCCAACACTCCATCACAGACGTCTCGATGGCATCAAATCTTCATACTTTGTCATTAACATCTCACACATTCAGTCAAGTGTGAAAAGCTAACAGTCTATGAAATGCATGATCTAACATGTCTTTGGTGCATTCTATTGTTTTTAGTTGCAGTGACCAGATTTTGCCAAATGTATTTAACAACAATGTACAATAAAATGAGAATTGGTGTCTATATACCATTACTAGCTTTTACTGGCAGACAAACACAGACTGATTACGGTCCTCCATCACCAAGACCATTAGCACCAATAACATTGAATACTAAACATAGCTTTCATCTTTGTTTGTTGAGAGGGTTAACTTGTACATTATTATGGGGTAGGTAGCACTATATCACAGGAGGTAGTTTTCAATTGCAGGAGACAGACAACACTTTATAACAGGAAGCAGTACTTTATTACAGGGGCTTGTAGAACTATATTTTAGAGGGTAGGTAGATCTTGTTTACAAGGGTAGGCAGTACTTTATCACAGGATATAATACTTTATTACAAGGGTAGGTAGTACTTTATCACAGGCATAGATAGTACTTTATCATAGGATATAATACTTTATTACATGGGTAGGTAGTACTTTATCACAGGCATAGTTAGTACTTTATCATAGGATATAATACTTAATTACACGGGTAGGTAGTACTTTATCACAAAGGCTGATGTGTAGACAATACTATATCACAGGCTGTAGGTAGTGTATTATTACATGGGTAAATTCTACTGTGTTACAGGGATAGACAGCACTTTATTATAGGGGTGGGTAGGTCTTCATCACAGAGTGGGTAGTACTCAATATTACTGGGAATGGGCAGTACTCGCAAGAGGTCTTAGGTCTTTATTCAAGGCACAGATAGTACTTTATTATAGGGTTATGTCTTCATTACACTGGGAAAGTAGTTCTATATCACTGGGGAGGTTATACTTCATCAACAGAGGTCTATAGGTCTTTATAACAGGGGACAGGTACCACTTTATCATAGTGGTAGGTCTTTACTACAGAGGTGTAAAGTACCTTATCACATGGGTAGGAAGTACAACATTTTCACAGGAGGTAGATCATTTTTAAAGGTGATAGGTTGTAGAGGTAGGGAGATCTTTATCATATTAAGAGATAGTACTATATCACATGGGATAGATAGATCTCTGTTACATGGATAGGTGGTACTACAGTAAAACACAGATGTCGAAGTTGAAGGGACCAAATGAAATATTTGAATTATACCATTGTTTGAATTGTCTAACAACATGGCGTGACAGTAATGAATAAGTTAAAAATAAACAAAAATATTTTGTAATTTTATACACTAACAATCTCTTATATAATTAAACAGTTTTAAGAATATAAAACGAAAAATGTAATGTGAAACACTTGTTATTGAAATGCCCCATGTGTGGATACGCACCCACTCTCATACACATAACTTAGTGATTTCGATACCTATAGTGATACAATTATTACACCCACATTTATATCTTTATGAGTAACAACACCAGTCAACAATATTTTAAAATAAAGCTCAATAAATATGTACTCATATACATTCTACATTGATATAACATTAAGAGCATCGAGGTGGGTTACGAAAAGATGAAGGCTGCGGCAATGTCAGTGAACCATAAAATTTACATGTACAGCACCGTAAGAGCGTAACCCTCAAATAGAATTAAATAAAAGTTGCACGTTGTATCTGTACATGTATATCAGTATATGTACTTAAAATCAGAAACAAATGTGTCAATGACAAACTAGTATTTTTATCAATCTGCATCAGTAGATTTATGCCTTATAGACTACAATATGTGCATGAGTAAACACAGGGATTAATGCTTGATCGAAAATTACAAAAAGTCTTGTTAGAAACAGATGCAGCTGACCATGTACACACAGCCATTTGGACCAAAGCCAGGATTTTTTTATTCCAGATAAGGTAATGCCTGAATGTTCAACACCAAAAAGGAAATTTTCGCTGAATTTAGAGGGAAAGACCACAAAATATATTCAACACAAACACAGTATTCAACTAAACAGTATTTGAATCATCCGTGTTTAGGTTACTAAGATAAAGAAGAGAAAATATCGGAACCAATCAAAACATTCAATTTATCCTATATTTCTTTATTCAAGCGTGTTCAACACAAGTGAGTTTTACTGTATATCATGTGGTAGTACTATATTACAGGGTCGGTAGTACTATATTACAGGGGTAGTAGTACTTTATTACGTGGTATAGGTAGGAATTTTGTGGCATTTGTTTCTAATGTCTATGGAGGTTTATTTACCTTTGTTTCTAGTAGCATTAAGGTAGCATGTGAGCGCATCTATCGGTTGGTTACAGGACTCGTAGAGGATGCCAAGGTCAGTCCATGCCGCAGTGTGGGACTTGTCTAACTGCACAGCACATATGTAGGCCTGCAGGGCATCCATAGGCTGGTTCTGCTGCTGATATAGTACTCTACAAGATACAATGAAAATAGTATGGTGAGTTACTTGTGTGCTAAACAAATGAATTGTTTACCAGTGCGATAGACAAACTGTGTGTCGCTTAATCATGTGCTTGAAAAATGAACTGTGTGTTACCTTATAGTGTGCCAGACAAAAAGTACTGTGTGTTACCTTATAGTGTGCCAGACAAAAAGTACTGTGTGTTACCCTATAGTGTGCCAGACAAAAAGTACTGTGTGTTACTTGTGTGCTAGAAAATGAACTCTGTGTTATCCCACTGAGTGCCAGACTCTTTGATTTTATATAACACTTCATTTTCATAACTTGTCCAAAGTCTTGTTTCTTTCTTACACAACATTCTCTGATTATCAATGGAATGTCGGATTTCCCTTTCACCAGAGACAGTTATTACCCAATTTCTGACTAGCATTTAAATCTCCATGATACAGTCTGATAAAGCCTTGCCAGACCTTTACAAAATAAAGATGATAACTTACCCTATTGAGCACCAGGTGTCAGCACTGGCCTCTGACTTGTCAATGGAGTTCCTGTACGATACAAAGGCATCGTGGACTTTGGCAAGACTTGAGAAACACCTGGAAAAATTGATGATGAGGAAATCATTCTTCAATATTTCTTTACATAGTTTTGTTAAGTTTTTTTTTCAGAAAGTTTAGGACTATTGATGTGAATGGGGAGATATTTTAAAACAAAATGCAAATTTTCGGAGGGAGAAACATTCATAAAAGGTTTTCATAACCATAAATAATCACCTGGTCAAATATATATTGGTCTGTTGAATGAATTAATTTTTTAACTAAATCATATTTCAAAACAGCATACTTTATAGCTACAGTTCTGTGCTAAATGATTCAATTCCATTCAGGAGAAATATGTAATTGAAGGTACAGGTTTTAAGGTGACTTATTGAAAAAAGATAGAGTATCAAATTATGTTGCTTTGTTTTTGCAAACATGACCAATATCAAATAGATTCTTTTCTTTCTGAGAACAAGTTTTAACAACCTTACCTTCCAAGGAGGTACCAAGTCTGTCCGTTTGTAGTGTCAGCCTCTAGAGACTGCTTCAGGTAGTGGATAGCAAGTCCCTCACGCGTATTCTTGTCACCAAGCTGATCAACAGTATGAAAGAGCCAACCTACAACATCAGAAAGCATAAGCCTTTAATTATTCAAGAAATAAAGAAACAACTGCAGTATTTAACACAGAACCCTATCATACTGATATCTCTATTGCGATAAAAGACATTTAAGTCAATGATTACAGTGTTCTGACGTTTGATTTCCTAAACCGTGAAGGTGTCTGTAACACCTAAAATTCATGTCATTCATCAAATTAACACAATCACAAGCTCGAATGACTCAACAGAATATACAAGACACAGACCTATGTCACAATCATTTAACATTCATAATATATCTATGTATATCACAAACACATGACAGTCAAGATGCCTCTATGTATATCACAAACACATGATAGTCATGATACATCTAAGTATATCACAAACAGTTGTGTCATTATACATCTACGTATTTCACAAACACTTAAAAGTCATGATACGTCTACGTATGTCACATTCACTTGCGTTATGACTACAAATTTGCCTCTGAGTTATGTCTACAAATTTGCCTCTGAGTTACATCTACAAATCAGCCTCTGAGTTATGTCTTCAAATCAGCCTCTGAGTTATGTCTACAAATCAGCCTCTGAGTTATGTCTACAAATCAGCCTCTGAGTTATGTCCACAAAATAGCCTCTAATTTATGTCTACAAATCAGACTCTGAGTTATGTCTTCAAAACAGCCTCTAATTTATGTCTACAAATCAGCCTCTGAGTTATGTCTACAAATCAGCCTCTGAGTTATGTCTTCAAATCAGCCTCTGAGTTATGTCTACAAATCAGCCTTTGAGTTATGTCTACAAATCAGCCTTTGAGTTATGTCTACAAATCAGCCTTTGAGTTATGTCTTCAAATCAGCCTCTGAGTTATGTCTACAAATCAGCCTCTGAGTTATGTCTACAAATCAGCCTCTGAGTTATGTCTACAAATCAGCCTCTGAGTTATGTCTACAAATCAGCCTCTGAGTTATGTCTACAAATCAGCCTCTGAGTTATGTCTACAAATCAGCCTCTGAGTTATGTCTTCAAATCAGCCTCTGAGTTATGTCTACAAATCAGCCTCTGAGTTATGTCTACAAATCAGCCTCTGAGTTATGTCTACAAATCTGAGTTATGTCTACAAATCAGCCTCTAGTTATGTCTACAAATCAGCCTCTGAGTTATGTCTACAAATCAGCCTCTGAGTTATGTCTACAAATCAGCCTCTGAGTTATGTCTTCAAATCAGCCTCTGAGTTATGTCTACAAATCAGCCTCTGAGTTATGTCTTCAAATCAGCCTCTGAGTTATGTCTACAAATCAGCCTCTGAGTTATGTCTACAAATCAGCCTCTGAGTTATGTCTACAAATCAGCCTCTGAGTTATGTCTACAAATCAGCCTCTGAGTTATGTCTACAAATCAGCCTCTGAGTTATGTCTACAAATCAGCCTCTGAGTTATGTCTTCAGCCTCTGAGTTATGTCTACAAATCAGCCTCTGAGTTATGTCTTCAAATCAGCCTCTGAGTTATGTCTACAAATCAGCCTCTTAGTTAAGTCTACAAATCAATGAACACTTGGAGATATCTACTTATTACGATGAAAGATGAAAATTTGTATCTAAATAGAAATTTGTGAGGAAATTGTGTTAAACTTTCATAAAAGTATATCAGATTCAGCAACATCATAGTTGTGAATTTTTAACTTACCTAATTGTTTAAGTGCTGTGGCTTTGACTGGGTCCTCAGAACTATCAAGGTCAGCAAACTGTTCATAGGCTTCTTTAGCTTGTTTGTATTTTGCCTGAAACAGACGAATCATTATAAACATAAGAAAAATATAGAGACAAGAATAAAGTTAAGAGACTATAACTTGTGTACGTATGTTTTAAGAGACCTTTCCATCTGTCACTCGTGTAGAACCTCGCATGAGAGACCTCTCCTGTCAATAAAGTAGAACCTATCTTAAGCAACAACATTCGTCCATGTGTAGCTGAAGTAGAACATGTTTCAGACCCAACCCTTTCTGTCATTGTCTTCAGAGTCCACCCTCCTCTCATAACAATAAAACCTGACTAAGGAGACCATTGCTTTGTTACAGCAGTCATGACCGATCACCATCCTTCTGTTGTTAAAGTAAACCCAGCTGGTGAGACCATTATTTTCTATTATTATATTGGGTAAATATCTTACCATATAAGGTATATAGAGTAAATATCTTACCATATAAGGTATATAGAGTAAATATCATATATGGTATATAGAAAAAATATCTTACCATATAAGTTATACAGAGTAAATATCTTACCATATAAGGTATATAAATATCTTACCATATAAGGCATATAAAGTAAATATCTTACCATATAAGTTATATAGAGTAAATATCTTACCATATAAGTTATATAGAGTAAATATCTTACCATATAAGGTATATAAATATCTTACCATATAAGGCATATAAAGTAAATATCTTAACATATAAGTTATATAGAGTAAATATCTTACCTGAGCTTCAAGTATGTGAGCAATCTGAAGACGAACTAGAAATAAAAAAAGGCTTATGTTAATAATGTCTTTTATCTTTAAACTATAAATCTAAAATCTCTTTCCTCGATAAATCGCTGCAACATCTAAAGGACAAAGTTGAGAACTGTTTATATACTTCTGATCTGTAAGGTCTTTGATCTTGAATTTTTATAAATATTTATGATTTTAGAATAATGTTTTGATCTTTAAACATTATAGTGATCTAAGTTTACATTCTTTGTTAATTTTTTCACCTAGGATCAAAACAGTTTTACATCAAAGATTTCATAATAAATAAATTAACCTAAAAATGAAATAAATCCTGCATAAGGCATCAATTGCTACAGTTTGTTCTAGCTTGATAAATAAAATATCCAACCTAATCTTTTCCTATGCAGTGTTTCAGTAACACAGTGTGCATACTAAACATTTAAAACATATTATGTATCAAATCAGAATTCTGCATTAAATTTCATGAAATGCTAAACAGCAAACTAAATCATATTCTCATGAACTTGCTTATTCCAGATTAAATGCAGAACACAGGAAACATATTTCCTTTCATTTAAACACTGTTGTTAGGAAAGAGTGGTTTAGAATATATATACTCCTGGTATATACTCACTTTGTGCTTTGGAAAGGGAACAGGGGTTGGAGTCTTTGAGGGCCTGGTGAAAGTGCTGCAAAAAGACCGACATACAGTTAGAAATAACTAACTTAAATTAATACCTAATCTCCACTGAATATTGGTTTTAACTTTAAGCATTTCTTATATACCTACTCTTCAATGTACACCATTACATGTTTCAATACTCTGTCATGATGGCAAGCCACCCAGCACCCAACAACCTGAGGCCATCGTAAATTTTCCATCTGATAAAGTTAGGGTAGATATATTGGCTGTTCTAAAAGGAGGTGAAAATTGAAAATGTCTATAAGAAAAAGAATACTGCTTGGTAAGTCAAAGTCCCATCAGGTATAGAAGTTAATATTATGATACTATGGGGTGAATATGAAACAAATCTGTTCAGAGTTTCTCTAGATGACACTGATTCAACAGACGCACATGAAAATGGGATGTGAGAAATATCAGTAACACTGTGTGCCGCCCCCCACACCCTATGCTTTACCTCGAACGGTGGAGCAAAAAATATTTTGGGGAGGTCTGTCTTGTACCTTATAGTAAATCAATTGATACTGAATCAGAGCATTTTCAGTGCATTTGTATTAAAAGGGATAATGTCATTTATAATGTCATAAACACCGTACTGAGGCATGTTGACTGACAACGTATTTAGCTTTACTTATTTTGTGTCATCGCTTGGTGGTTGTAGCCATTACACCAATCACCGATCTGTGAGAAAAGTTTCTACAACATCCTCCACTATTTCTGATGTCATTACTTGTTAACAGACATTGTTAAAAATTGTGATGAGTTCATTATTTCTCAGAAATATTCCGTCAACAGTCTCATGAATTGTGAGCAATATTTTCCATCTACTTGTTCAATATGAAAATTGTTGTGATTGATTCTTGATAAAGAGTATACTTGATAGTTTTGTTGTTTGACATTAAAATCTTGCATTTGATGCTCAACAGTATACCTGGCTGTTTTCTTGTTCTCTATTTTTTGAGAACCTGACATTATGGTTACTTGGACTTTACCTGATTTTCATGGCAGGTGTTGTTCAGAAGAAGCTTACCCTTCCTAAACACCTGGTCATCTTTTCCTTGTCCTTTTTCTCATTTTATTTACAGTGCTGGTTTTGTAAACTTACATGTAGAATCAAGTTGATTCACATTTCATTACTCTTCACTTGTAGTCTTTTGTGTGAAGGAGATTTCTTATCAACAAATGGTGTGATGTTAGATTTTCAATTATTGCTCTTGTGATCTTTTATTGAACCATAAAAAGAAAACCTTCTAATCAATGTGCTTTGATGATGAAAACAAAAAAAAACTTAAAGTATGCAGATTTTACAAATACATTGTACTAGTTAATTTCCTGGAAATTAGTTTTTTTCCTGCATGAAGCATCAATTACCAACACTAAGGAATTTTTAAATAACCCCAAGTGTTATTCTCCATTCAATTATTAAAAGTGATAACAATCTCCTCACCTTCAAGCTTGCGTCATAGTTGGCAGCGACTTTGGACATCAATCCCAGGCGTATGTGGACCTCATTAGCCTTACTAAACCCCGGCTCTCTGTACAACACTTCCTGGAAAGCCTTCGTAGCCCTGTAATATACAAAGAAAAAGTCTTCATCACATTATGAAATGCTTCTATAAATGAATTGTACTGCAAAATATCTTCCTGGTTTGGATTTGACAGGTAAAACAAACCACTGCCCTGAAATAAAATCATGGCAGAAAAATCAAATGATTATTCTTTTTCTTATGAAAAATGCATCATGAAAATATTGAATGCCATTTTCTTCTACACATCATACTGATTAAGTATTTTTACATCTTATTGACTCAGTATTTCTACATCTTATTGACTCCGTATTTCTGTATCATATTGACTCAGTATTTCTACATCATATTGACTCAGTATTTCTACATCTTATTGACTCAGTGTTTCTACATCTTATTGACTTAGCATTTTTACATCTTATTGACTCAGTATTTCTGTATCATATTGACTTAGCATTTTTACATCTTATTGACTCAGTATTTCTACATCTTATTGACTCAGTTTTTATTTATTGACTCAGTATTTTTACATCTTATTGACTCAGTATTTTTACATCTTATTGACTTAGCATTTTTACATCTTATTGACTCAGTATTTCTACATCTTATTGACTTAGCATTTTTACATCTTATTGACTTAGCATTTTTACATCTTATTGACTTAGCATTTTTACATCTTATTGACTTAGCATTTTTACATCTTATTGACTTAGCATTTTTACATCTTATTGACTTAGCATTTTTACATCTTATTGACTTAGCATTTTTACATCTTATTGACTTAGCATTTTTACATCTTATTGACTTAGCATTTTTACATCTTATTGACTTAGCATTTTTACATCTTATTGACTTAGCATTTTTACATCTTATTGACTTAGCATTTTTACATCTTATTGACTTAGCATTTTTACATCTTATTGACTTAGCATTTTTACATCTTATTGACTTAGCATTTTTACATCTTATTGACTTAGCATTTTTACATCTTATTGACTTAGCATTTTTACATCTTATTGACTTAGCATTTTTACATCTTATTGACTTAGCATTTTTACATCTTATTGACTTAGCATTTTTACATCTTATTGACTTAGCATTTTTACATCTTATTGACTTAGCATTTTTACATCTTATTGACTTAGCATTTTTACATCTTATTGACTTAGCATTTTTACATCTTATTGACTTAGCATTTTTACATCTTATTGACTTAGCATTTTTACATCTTATTGACTTAGCATTTTTACATCTTATTGACTTAGCATTTTTACATCTTATTGACTTAGCATTTTTACATCTTATTGACTCAGTATTTCTACATCTTATTGACTCTGTATTTCTACATCTTATTGACTCAGTATTTCTGCATCATTTTGACTCCATATTTCTGCATCATATTGACTCCGTATTTCTACATCTTATTGACTCTGTATTTCTACATCTTATTGACTCAGTATTTCTACATCTACATCATAATGACTCTGTATTCCTACATCATATTGATTCCGTATTTCTACATCATACTGACTCAGTATTTCTACATCATACTGACTCAGTATTTCTACATCATATTGACTCTGTATTTCTGCATCATATTGACTCCGTATTTCTACATTATATCATTTTCTACATTTTATGCTGATTCATTATTTTTCTACGTCGTACTGACTCAGTGTCTGAACAGTTCAATCAGTAACAAAGACATCAAGATATATTTGGGGTCCAAAACAACCAGATTAAGTAACAAACACCAGAGATCAGAGATCCTGGCCAGTCGGTCAAAGTCAAAGCTCCTCAAAACAGCAGAACAAAAAAATTGCCATATTTTGAGTTTCAAAAATGTTCAATATCCTCTGAATGGCACCAGGTCAAACATTAAATTACAACTAACTTTTTATCTGCTCCTTTAATTAGCAACGAAGGAGGGAGTTTTGAGCTAGTGTCCCAAGTTATAAGATTCAAGCAGATGGTGTAAACAGGAGATGGATCTGGGGCTGTAGCATTTCTTGGTGTATGGTCCTTTATAACCTGGCTCCCTCAACTTTAGGGATGGAAGTTTGGACTGATATCAGTCTATTTTGTATCATGGAGAGTTTGAGACTTGCCTGAGTTTCCTGTGAAAAAATCTGTGATATATCTGATTGGGAGTTACGAGGCAATAATTAAATCACTTTTGAACATACATAAATGAGTCAGAAGTAAGACGCCAGGTAATGGTTTTAACATAACACATAAATTAGCTAAACCAACAGGGACAGCTTGCGATCTGGTTGAGGATAAGACAAATTAGGATTTAGCAGACTTTACACTATCCTCTGTAGATGTCATGCCTTCAAATGACAAAATTTAAAGTAAAAGTCACTGTGTACTTAAAGGTATAAAACCTATTGTCTCCCAGAGATGAAAAGAAACGCCTGCAAATTATAAATAAGGCACATCGCATGTCAACATTTCATTCAACAAAGTATCATGTAATATCACTAATTACAATAAAAACACTAAGGACTAATTAACTAGTTGCTGGCGGCCAACTGGTACCTGTATCACGATGGTTATCACACAAGTTTATTGAGTGGAATTCAAACATTCTTGTAAATGAATTTCAGTGGATATTTAAGTTAGTGTAAGGCCTTTGTAAATGTGTAATATTGTGGAGTCAGTTTTCAAGATTAAACTAAAGCTGATTCGACTGTGATCATATTAAAAGTGTTCATTTTATGTATGATGTGGGGGACGTTCAAACGGGTGATGCCCAATTCCGTATGCTGATTAATACTGGTGTTGTCTTAAAGACAGGTTTGGTACAATTGAAGGCATTTTTAATCACATCAGTGACCAGTTTGGTAGGATGGAAAAAACTGAACGTTAGAACACAGTAAAACAAAGATAAGTTTGGTACAACTGATCAAACATTATCCTCAGTTTTATTTTTTCTTTTATATTTGCAATTTTCTGGAAAAAAAATGGAACAAACTGATAGCAAATTTCCTAATGGAAAAAATCTATTGTGACATTCAAATATTTATGAACCAAGTCAATAATCCACAGTGATATACAAGAGGGATCTGTTTGATTTTAACCTATGGACAACATGGTTCAGAGTATAAGACAGTCCTACTTGATTACTACATAAAGGTAACAAGTTTCAGAGTATAAGATTGTCCTACTTTGACTATTGGGTAATAAGATAGTCCTACTTTGATTACTAGCTACAGGTAACAAGCTCCAGAGTATAAGATTGTCCTACTTTGACTATTGGGTACAGGTAACATGCTTCAGAGTATCCCAGACAGTTTTTAAGTTTGTCTGTCAACACAGCACACTTGGTATTTTTTTCATTAATTGTAACAATCATATATAATTTTATTCCCTTATAGAGTTATAAATACAAAATCTATCCTCATGATTTACAATGTCACTCACTGAGTGAGTTCATAATTTTTTTATGAATGTCTAAACCACAGCTTATTTACATAAATAGGAAGTCTGTCTATTACGTTAGACCACCCAGCAAGCGTAGAAGGTTAACAAACTCAGGTCATGTCTCCAGCGGGTCACACTTAACATATCTGTCTATCTATCAACACAATGGAGAGGTATGCATGTTAGTATGTACAAATTAAATACACCAACCTTGTATAGTAAAAGGTGGTAAAAGTATACTAGGGGTATGTTATACAGGGTGACAAATACAGGCCAGGTATGTTATACAGGGTGACAAATACAGGCCAGGTATGTTATACAGGATGACAACTCAAGGCCAGGTATGTTATACAGGGTGACAACTACAGGCCAGGTATGTTATACAGGGTGACAAATACAGGCCAGGTATGTTATACAGGGTGACAAATACAGGCCAGGTATGTTATACTGGATGACAAGACAGGCCAGGTATGTTATACAGGGTGACAACTACAGGCCAGGTATGTTATACAGGGTGACAACTACAGGCCAGGTATGTTATACAGGGTGACAACTACAGGCCAGGTATGTTATACAGGGTGACAACTACAGGCCAGGTATGTTATACAGGGTGACAACTACAGGCCAGGTATGTTATACAGGGAGACAAATACAGGCCAGGTATGTTATACAGGGTGACAAATACAGGCCAGATATGTTATACAGGGTGACAAATACAGGCCAGGTATGTTATACAGGTTGACAACTCAAGGCCAGGCCAGGCCAGTTATGTTATACATACAGGGAGACAATTCTCGGTCTTGTATGTTATACAGGGAGACAACTGTGAGTTGTCTAGATCTAGGCCTGGTTTGACCTCCACTGACTTGAAATCTTCAGATCTTTGACATGCTCTTGCAGACTAACCCTACTTAACAAATACTGTAGAAATGTCTGTGTTTATATCTTTTGCCAATAGCTACCTGTGCTATCCTACACCTGTCTGCTTGTTACCTCCCTTTTATCTTGATTTGTATACGTAAACATCAAAGAAGCTGTGGCTGGATTGACAGCTTACCTGTCTGTCCAGTAATCACCTAACATCCTCTCAACAGTTAACTACAAAAGTAACTTGATCAGATCATTACCACAAACCTATACATAACAAAGTGTTATGTCAGATCAGTTTATGAACTACAGTCACAAAGCACAAACAAGAAAATGCTACACGGTATAACAAGTCTGGAGTAACACACCTATAAAAAGAATTTTGCAAAACAGATTAATAACAGCAGTATGTAAATAGCAGTGCACAATACAACGTGTAATGGTTACTTGTATCAACTTAACAAAGCTCTGATAAAGGATATCAACTGTCATATATGTCAGATTTGTTCTTAAAACAAATTCGACACTAAAACCTGTGAGACGTATTTCATAAATTTGAAATCAATCATTTATCAAACTGATGACATGACTGACAGATATACAGGATGGAATGTTTACATTCAGGAAATACTCATCAAAATGAACCACATCAAATATTCAAGGGAGACAATTTTAAACCACATGAGTAAATTAATGTCGCTATCATGTAGCCTTAACTTGTGAAACAATCATTCGTATTTACATCTTTC